AAACTTTATTTTATATATATATATATATATATATATTTGTTCATGTTTTGTATTTATGAGTTATCCAATTTTATTATTTATCTTAGCTTACAAAATTTTAGTGTGATTCCATTAAGTGTAGAAATCATGGCGGGTCGTTACAATTGACAACTCAGTGACTTCACTCCATGACATTTCAGACAGTGATATTTCACACAATTCCTCATTGATCAAAATCCTTCACTAGTTATAACCCTCCGTGGGTAACTCTTTTAGATGTTCAATTACCTTTAGGATCATTGACTTTTCTCACAAACCAACACAAAACTTTTCGATGTGCTTTGTCCTCACTCACATACTTTTGAGAAACCTTCCAGAAACTCATCCCTAAATTACTATAAGTTAAACACGTTTAACTGTGAAGTTCTTATGTGATGAGCTATCGAAACGTATATGCATCTTATTTGTATAAGTAATACTAATTAATTCCCTTAAGTCATCCTCGATTGAACAATCTCATATGTAATACTTCATTTTTCATAAAATAAAATATAATTAATTAATTAATAGTTTTGGTATTTTTATTTTTAATTAATGAAGTTGTTTAATATTTATTTTAATTATTTGATATGTTTTGAAATATAATATAAGGTGTTTTAATTAAAGATTTTAATTAAATATTTTATTTAATTAAATAAAAGGGAAAGGAGCGTCGTAACTAAGGTTAATATGTTTTAACTGGAGGGTTAAGGAAAAGTTAAGTTTTAAAAGAGTATTTTTGTCTTAATCAGTTTTACATTTCTTTCATTTTACGTATGCGTTCTTTCACACTTTAGAGCTTGGAGAACAAGACTAAGAAGAAAACCACTCGGGGACCATGCATCTATCTTCTACTTACCAAGATAAAGGGGAGTGAGAAACCTTGTTTTGAGTGCAAGATTGTATGTTGGGTAGTGAGATTGACCCCCATCTTGTCTCTATTGTATGTCTAAGTATGAGGGGCTTTTTTCAAATGTATCTTTGTCTTTTATGTTTCTCCTTGTATGTTCTATTTGTGTTAGAAAAGAATGGCACAATCCAAGAGGGGGGGGGGTGAATTGGATTCAATGACACTTTAAAAATTTCAGAGTATTTAGGATCTTTATTTCAATTAAACTTTTCTAAAAATGAATTTTCAATGAAGTTTCTTAAAGACTTGTTATAGAAGAATGAGTCCTATATGCTTTCTTGATTAACAAATAATGGTGTTCAACGATAATGTCAATATGTAATGCTTTGATTCAGTTCAGACCAATGTTATTCATGCACACATATTAACCAAGAATAATCTTCTTTAATGATCAATCAAGAAATTACACAAAGTAAAAGATAAGGGTAAGAAGAAGATTGCACAAGTCTTTTATCCTAGTTCAGCCACTCCACATGTGACCTACATCCAGTCCTCAATCACAACCTGATCAAGATTTGTTCCACTATCTTAATGAAGAAGGTTTACAAGCATACCACACATGCATATACTCCTACATTCAAGATAACCACTTTCTTGACCCCAAGAAAGCACCCCTTGTAGAAAACCACTACAAGAATCCTTACCACTTGAGTAACCCTCTCAAGATTTTACAAGTATTCACAAAGAATTAAGGAACGAATTCACCTGGAATTCAGAAGCAAATCTTAATCTTTTCCCTTTCAAGAATGTGATGATGATGATGATTCTTTCTCAAAGATTTTCTCAAATGTTTTTCTTCTTGGATTCACAAAGAAAACTCTCCAAGATTGTCACAAAGACTTCACAAAAACGCTTTTCTAATTTTGATTCTCAATTCTAACTCTGTTATGAAGTTTCAAAAAGTTCAAACTATTTATAAAAGTTTTAGAACCAGATAATCGATTATTTTAAAGAATAATTGATTATTTTGTTCTTCAGGTTTCCTGGAAACCAACCAAGAACAATATAATCGATTATTTTGCTGGATAATCGATTATTCCAGAGAGTCATTTCTGGGATAATCAATTATTTCACAAATAATCGATTATTGCAGCAAGACATACCATTTTGCCTGTTGTTGGAATAATCAATTATATTTAATGATAATCGATTATTTTGAGTTAGTTTTCAAAACTTCGTTTTAAGTCTCAAAATAACTTCTTAATCCTTTTAACTCATCATCATACACTCTCTAATCAGTTTAGATATAGACTTAGCTTATGCACACAGCACACACAACAAATAAACTCAACCAAAACAATTTATACACTATTTCCTATTACATAGCACTTTCTTTGACTTTGTTTTTGCCTTCTAAGTTGTTGTTGTCCTTGGCATACATATGTTATCATCAAAACTTCTTCAAGCCTTAGAGGTGATCTCATCAAGTTCAGGCTCCCCTAAGCTCAACAATTTGATGTAAATTGTATGTATGAGTTGGTAATTTTTGAAATTGGCTAAAATTGTATGTTTTGGTGTTCCTATGGAAATCCTAAAGAAAAGCATTGCAGGTTGTATGAAGATAATGCTTAAGTATGTAATTGTATATATGAATTATGTTGTTTAAAATGTTTATTACATGATTTAGAATGCTTCTACTGATTGGATGATCTCTTTTGATGAATTTATGGTGATGGGATGAGTTTCGGGGTCCAAAAAGTCAAAAATCGCACTGTCAGATTTCGTCACGAGGGTGATCAATGAATCACAACTATGATTGGTCAATTACAAGCATGATTGATGAGTCATATTCAACCCTTCCTTGGATTCTTGCCAAGCCAATCACAAGTGTGACCAACATCATGATTGTGATCCGTGAGTCACGGTCGTGACTCATGTTGTTGCTCCTCTTTCCCATTCTTTTCTTCTTTTTATCGCCTTTATTACTTGAGATAAGTCATATTTATCAGTTTGAGATGCAATGTATGATACTTTTGCATGAGCCATGTATGACTTGGATGAGGTGACTTGGGTCTTGATATAATGAGAAGTCAAAGCAAGACTTAGTCGTGATGTGATTATGAGATGAAATGAATTGAGATACAATCATGGGTATGTATTTTTGAAATATGATAAGGCTTTGAGTTTGTTTGACATGCATCATATGCATAAAGACATTTTTAAGGGTAACGATATGGAATACACTACTAGGGAAGCCCTTGTGTAAAAACTTGGAAATCAATCCTTGGGGATAACTTGGTTTGGAAGTTTTAATCTCGATCTTTGTGTGCATAGGATGTATCTTGTGCAACTTAGCTATCCTGACCAGACTCTAGTAATATGTCCTTCTAGTGAAAGTCTGTAAAGGGTGTGACCCGACATGTACTCCTAGGCTGTTCTATGTATATTGCTAACAATAATGCACAAGTGTGATGTTTTATTGACACCACATGCATGATAATATGTAATCTGTGTTCATTGCATAATGTATTAGAATGTATCTGTTATTATTTATTATGTTATGATTGAATAGGTGTGATAATAATGTTTATTTGTGTATGTTATGTCTTGTTGTATGTCTTGTTTGTGTTTGGTTATCCGATTTGTATTCCTACACCATAACCTAGAGTGAGATGTTTATCATTCACTTTCTTTTGTGTTGCTTTCCTTTGACTATTATGCAGATGATCATAAACATGAGGCTAAAAATGTTAATGACAAGGCTTAGGCTTCAATATTGGGTCTTACTCTAATAAGACATGTAACATCAAGACGTAGCTATACTACATTAGGATTCTTTTTGTCATTGAATTTGAGAACTTTGGTTTTAGTTCCTTATAATTTTAGTAATTCCGTAAAGCTTAGTTTATGTTAATAATGTAATCCTCTTTATTTGTATGAATTTTGAGTTTATTTATTATATCAAGATTATTTAATTTTATATTATTTATATATTATGACATATGCAGCAGAGGATGTCACATCATACTTGTACAAATATCTAGATCTCTAATTTTAATGTGTTCAGACTATTAAACACCCATTAAATATACCAAAAAATTGCTCACCCATTAACTGTTTAAATTCTAATATTGACTATGATATGACATTACGTAAATGACATACTAATTAATATTTAAGTTAAATTACACTTTTAATTTTTATTTTATCTCATAAAAGTGATGGAAAAAGATAAAATAAAATAAAAATGAAGACTAAAAGTATAATTTAATTTAAATATATTCAATATTAATTATTATGTCATTTAGTTAATGTAAGGTCATGGTTAATGTCACAAATTTTAGTTAATGAATGAATATTTAGTTGTGGAATCATAATTGCATGTTCATAATATGATTAAAATTACGAATGGAATATTGTAAGAGAATAAAAATGAAATTTAACCTTAAAATTAAAAATAATTCCTTGAGTTATTTATTTTTGTTTAATCATATTAATTTTGTGTTATTTTATTGAGTTGAACATGCCTTTCATTAAAATTAATTATCGTATCTTGAGTTGATGGAATTATTCTTTTTAGTAATATGAATTTATTTATTTTTAAATTAAAGTATAGTTAAAAATAAAGGTTATTAGTAATAAATAATAAGTGATAACTATTTTATCTACTTCTCGTTTGACTACTGCCAAGATCATGACAAACATTCAATATTCTCTATAATTTTCATAAAAAAATATAGCAATAAAAGATTGTTAGTGGCAACCATTTTATATTTCCTTCTTGATTGGATATTGCAAAGACATCGTGTTCCTACCTTTTCAAACAAAAAAAAAATCTATAACTCTAGTATTTTCACAAAATAATACATAATTAAACCACGTTTAACACAAACATTTTTCAAAGAATAACGTGATTTTAAGTTGTTCACTACAATGAAATATACAAAGAAGTGAAAATCAAATATTTTACGAACCAAAATTATTTTTTTATAATATAATTTTCTCCTAAATAAGTATATTCATCCATTTAATTTTTTTTCACATATTTAAAAGGGATACATAAAGTATTTTTAAAATTTATATTAATTTTGCGCATCCAATTATAAATAATAACCATCTCTATGACAAACCTCATAGGGTACCAACACATTTCCTACTTACTCAAACTCAAACTTGGTTTCATATATAACATTTTTAAAAGATTTTTCTAATACTTTTTTCTTAATAAATTTTGTTGATGACTTTTTTTAAAAAAAAATTCGGTGCTTTACCCACAATCCTGATTGTAACAACATTCATTATCATTGGCATAAATTTATTATAATTCAATAAAATTGTGTCACGCCTTTTATTTATTTTTTCTTTAGTGAATTTCACTCAATTTTTTAAGTGCCGACAAAAATGTCATCACAATAATAAGCCCGTTAAAAATACCAACATGCTATTGATCTAAGGTGCATTTGAGTTGACGTCCTTACGTAAGATTTGAAATTCAGACATTATGAATAAAAAAAAGTTCACGAGAAGGAACATCCTATTAAAATTAGTCTGTTAGATTCTTTTTTTATCATAAATTAATCATATCGATAAGATTAATAAATACTTTACACCAATAATACAGTAAAAACAAAAAGTTTAAGTATATGTATCAAGTACTAACATTCATCTTACAAATGGATATATGTTTTCAATTAAAAATGAACAATGCCATTCATTGCACGGATTAACATTCATAACTGTGACTGTACATGAGATTTTAGCCAGAGACACGCTCGAAATTTCTTGTTCATGTCAATAGCTGTGCACAGTGCAAAGTTAGATCACAAAACCTGTCTAAAAAGCATTATTTGGTGAAAATTCAATCACAGCAAACCCAACAAACAAATTGGGATTCTGCGAAAATTTCCCTTCTGCCTAAAGCGTGACAGTTAAAGAATGTATATTTATTTGCTTATGTTGATGAACTTAATTCATCATCTATAGTTCAATCAATACTACACGTGTTGCAAAACACCACACAACTACTTGGTTTCTTTTCATCCAAGTAAGATGAAAAAAATCACATCCAACTCATCCAAGCTATAAGGAAGAGTAAAGACTATTACAGCATCTTTGTCCATGTACCAAGAAATGGAAAAATAGCAATAAGCAATCGCAACAACAGAGGTGTGTCACTTTTTCTTTCTCGTCTACTCAACCTACCACCTTCCATAGGCTTCCTTTGTGATCCATTCATAGAACGGGAAGACTTTGTCGCCGGTCTTGACCTCTCCAAGTCATCCCATCCACCAAAACTCGTCTGTGCTTCTCCTCGGCCACCACTATCGACTGAACCGTTGTTCTCAACAACCCATGATTGATACCCTTTTCTGGTTTTCTGGTTTTGTTCTGGTTCTTCCTCAACTCTGGCACTACGGCGGGGTTTCCTCCTCGTCGTGTTCTTGCGTTTTGGTTTGCTCTCTGGCTGCCCCCATAGTTTCTCAAATGCTAGTGCAAGTGCTGACTGACCAAGGGGCAGAACTAATGCCATGAGGAAGGCTTTTGGTCCACTGGCTAGCAACCATGATGCGAGGATGACAGGCAGTGTCCAACCGTAGGATTTGAAAATCTGCATTTTGAGAAAAATGAAACACATTGCAAGACTTCATCTTCATGCCAACAAAAATGTTTACAATGCATATGTGCACACAGGTAAGATGCTGTATGTTTGCAAAAGAGGAAGATTACCAAAAACATTCTGGCTGCTTAATTTATAATTAAAGCTTTTGGACAGTATTATACTTTTACATGACAAAGCAATGGTGGCCATATATTCACACAACAGAATATATACAAATACACAGGTGAAATTGTTGTGGTATAAAACTCTGATCCTAGGTCAGAGTAGCCTCCTTGAAGAAAAGGGAGAGATTGAAATCTGACTTAATTCCCATTCCCTCTGCCAGTAGTTACAATAGTTTATATAACATAAGCATATTCCATAGCCAATAGGAAAATGCAATATAACAGTTTTGCCATTCTGTTATTGCTTTCTAGAAGTAGAAAGTATAACCTACAATCACCTAATATCTAAATGGAACATATGGAAATATTGAGCTGGCTGCTGGGCATAACTCTTAAGAAGGTGGACTATGAGATAGGCTTTGATACCATCTTAATAAGGTGGATGATGAGTTTCACTCAACCTAACAAAAATAACTTGTAAGATGAGAATTATTTCCACTTATATACACCTTATTGGTCTTATTATTGGTCAATGTGGGATCCTCAACAATAACAAATATAAACTGACAAATAAAATGGGAGTAACTAGACAACAATTACTTTGGAAACCTTTTAGAGTCTTCAATGCATCGGATAATTAGAAAAAAGTTGGGGATGATTTTATAATGATACTTAGAGCAACATCCATATAGTGCCTTAAAATAAGAGATAATGTGGAAACTGGTATTCATCTAATAACTTCTTTAACTCTCATAGTGATGGATGCTCTAACAACCAAGTAATTAGGACATCTTTGTTTCCTGAATAAAATATATTGAACAGAATTTAGCATCTGTAAGCATATTCCTAAATCGTGAAGCACTTATACAGTTTTTATCGCTCAAGAGATGACTTCAACAAAGAATCCACTGAAAGTCAGTTGTCTGCCAATTTTATAAACATTTTGACATATGTTAGACATGGACAAATATACTCATTATCAAATCAAAAATCTGTCATATACATTAAAATGTATGAAAATGCGATGCGAGGAATGGTTTATTAGGCACTCACAGCTACATTTCCCATTACAGTGGTTACATGTTTGGAATTTTGATAGAAACTGAACAATATTATTACTATTATACACTACACTAGAACTAAGAAAGCAACTGATGCCAGAGAAAGAATGAATACAAGTGTTTCTCTCAGGATTTCAATAGCCTGAAATCTATCCCCAACACCAATTTCTCGCTTGGCAGAATGCCCCTAATTTTCTCTCACCATCTCTGTCAAATTTCATTATAAGAGTCTAACTTAAGTTTACAAAATCAACTTAAAGATACAGTCTTATATAGACTATTTCTTGTGAGGTGAAGTTTGTAAAACTAGACATTTGCAGGTCTATCGATAATAACTTGATAGACCTAACAATAATCAATAATCGATTGGTTATAAGCTTTGATATATTCTGATACCACTTTAAGATAGTAATTTGAAGTCTAACTTGACTTTACAAAATCGACTTATAAGATAAAAATTGATCTCTACTTATATACATTGTTATGATCTCATCTTTGATTGATGTAAGATCTCCAACAAACCAATAACCAACTCTAGCTCCCTCGCTAACAGAACGTCAGAAACCTGCCCATTGGGTCAAGAATCTACAGAATACATCGCATAAAGCTTCAACAGAAGCCATTGTTCAAATATAACATTTGGTTTAAGAGTTAAGGCATTACTTGCAGCTTCTCTGATAATAAGATCAAATTATATGTATTTATGTCTGCCCCAACAAGTGTTTCAGCTTTTGTGTATATGGCATACCACGTTCTTGCTTCGGTTCCATGTATTACAATCTTTGGCTTACTAGAAATTATGCTATCTGAGACATTTAAGGTCCAAAGCAAAAATGCATATCCACAACAATCACACAACTCTCTTTTAGAAAAAGAAAGTTATATTGAATGGAGTTGCACTCGGTGAATACTAACAGAAAATATGCACTTATACTCATGCCCGAACAATGTGGGAAATCAATAGTGTCTTTAACACCTATTTTCACACTGTAACAGTTATCCAACGACAAATATAATCCTAATTTAATCAGGAACGGCAGGAAACAAGAAAGGAACAGAATCTCTATAACAGAGTATAGAATGGTTTAGTTAACTAAGTTTACAATCCTAAGTAAATAAAACGAGTTAACTCTATAACAAACTCTTTCCTAGATAAACTGGAGTATATTCGTGTAAACTCTCAAATCAAAAAGCGAGTTAACAATTTTGAATTCAAATGTAATTTTTGTCCCATTGACTACACACTGTTAGGGTTTTACCATGACTCAATGATCTAAAGAAATCAACCTTTTTAAAAATATTTTCACTTTAAGAAATATGTTTTTAAGATATTATATAGAATTTGATCATTTATGTAATTTAATCCTATTTAATATTATTACTGTACCATAACACGTTATTATTATTGTAGTTTATGTTTTACGGAGTTGAAATGTTGGAATTATACATATAACTTATTTTACACAAAGATTCAATAAGAATTCACTTTATTGCCATACCATATCAACGATTTGGATGATGTAATAAAATCATTAAATCCTATTAGATGTATTGGTCAGTGCATATAAATTAAATTCAAGCGTATAAAGTTTATTTCCTCATGCAACTAATCTTAAAATTAAAAGACACAGGAAATAGTAACCATTTACTCTTCCGA